TGTTGGAAATCCTCGGTGTTGCGCAGGGTAGACTCCAGGCTGGTAAGGCCAGATGGTATGAACTCCTTATTCTGCAGCTCCTACAGAGCTCGTATTTATACTCTCCAGGCTTGTATCTAGAATTTACTACAACTTTCTCTTTCTCTCGGGCTTACTCATCAAATCCTCGGCATGATGCCAGATTGCCCTTTCTAGAACTTTCCAGCAAAATCCCAACAGGGACTGTGACCTCTCTATCCATGTACGTTTGTGGCAAATGGAACGCTTGATTTTCCACTGGTGACAATATCAATGTCGAATACGCGTAAATGGGGGTACAAGATAGTATGGCCTTGAGAATCCAGGGGCCTGCTGAGCTAGAAACCAAAGTCGCAGCAAAAGGGTCATGCCGAAACGCATTCGGGGTAGATACAAGTCATGGCCGCTAAAGCAATGGAAATAGCATGAACTTTTCCAACATCTTCAAGGGAACTACAAACTTTTGTATTGGCACAATAGAAATCCAAGGTTGTCCACGTCCACGGTTGAAATATCTTGTCCCTCCAAATCACGTCAGATATCAGCCAATGCCAATCAAGAAGCTGGTGGCGCGCCACGTGAAGCAGCACCTGCTGTAGGACCTAGTCAGTCCTGGTCGCTCACTGCAAGAATGTAGTCATAGTCGCGCACCGAAGAAGGCCATGTGAAGCGAGTAGGACCGCCTCCTCAGGCTCTCACCATTGCCACCACCATCTAAGAATTCTTCCTGACGGTCTCTCAAGCTGAGGCTGCTGCTGCCTCACTGTCTATTCCTTTCGTCAAAACTGTATGCAATACCATGGAGAACATTGCTCCTCTCTGGCTGGCAGAAAAATGGGACAATGTAAGCGCGTTTCCAATATCTATATATCATTAAGGTTGGACTATTACTCGGTAGACTCCTTCGTTGAGTCTGAAATAATAGACTAGCCTCTCACCGGTGCTGCCAGAGTCCTCTCGCACAAACTAAAAGGCATCAATCGTGTCCCACTCACCATCGAGTATGTTCTTGACCACATCTTGTTCAATTCTCAACGTTCTCCAGCCTCACTCCCTCGGTCGTTGAGGAATCCATCACACTCAAGGCCTCAGTCATCGTCTCGTATTATCTGCTAATATTGAAGCCCTTCTGATCGCTTATGCTCACGAACCCTCTGCAAGCTTCTCTTCTCCACTGCGCGGTCCAGGGCATCTTGCTTTTCTCACTACATACGTCTTTGGACTCTGTCTGGAGAGGCATGAATGACTGGCTTTCCAAAGGGCTTGGTCCTGGCCAAATTAGTGCCTTGGTAAGTGAGAAATTTGATACGAGTGGGACGAGCGAAGGTGCAGAAGGACGGTTGGTCTTTCTAGATGAACCAGTGTTGGTGAAAGAGCTGGTGGATAGGGTGAAGTGGCATCTTGGCCTATCGCAGGGTGAAAAAAATTTCTGTTACTTGGTTGCCGTTCTCGTTGGCTGATGTATGCACTCAGTTCAAGTAGCATATCCCTCCGCCGTACTTAGTGACATTCGGACGGTGGCGATATGCGCTGGGTCAGGAGGATCTATGCTTGTATTGACAGAAGAATATATGTGAGTATCTCAGTCGGGCACAACGTGGGTGAAGCGACTGAGGCATACAGATAGGAACGGCTGGACTATATAGGTGATCGGGAAATGACAGGAGGTGTAAGTATATATAAGGCAAATAGAGCGAGTGATCAAAAAGTAAGATAAGATGAAACGTACGGATATCCTCCAACAGCTTGTTGGACGCGATGCGGATGTTTATTTCACTGGGGAGATGTCGCATGTTTGTCTTTCTTTCATATTCTGGTTACTACCAGCGTACTGACGCGTCGACGACAGCATGAAGTCTTCGCATCAGTCTCTGCTGGGAAGCATGTCATTTTGTGTGAATGACCCCGATACAAGTGATAGAGACGCGACTACAACAGGGTATCGAGCTTTCTTCAATGACAGCCCACCAGCCCGTCATCAATAAACTGCCCATTCACATCGTCATGGCACGAATACGGACATACGTGCAACATGTTTTGAACTCCGCTCCACGCAGGACGGTCCGACGATTCAGAGCGTCAGCGAGGAGAGGATATCACAGGATATCACTAAGATGAATGGGAACGAGACTAGATAAGGTCTGCTTACAGCTCTAATGGGCCGCAGGGATCCAGTTAGAAAGAATCGCCTACTTCGACGCTTTGATGTTCTGATCTGCTCTTGGATCCGATGTTTTGTACGAGGTCTTACGGCGGCGTTATTGTATAGCCTCCAGAACCGAGAATCAGCGGGCACTTGCTTAGAATATTGCCCGTGTTGAGCGAGATGATGCCCGGCGAGACGAGTGCCGGTCGCTGGATGGGCTAGGATGGCCGTTTCGATGCTAAAACGAAGAATGAACAAGACCGAATGATTTTCGAGAAACTTGGAAGCACAGCTAAGTAACAGGCGAGCAGAGGCTTACAGAAAAATTCGATCACGTATTAGTTGGATGACGAAAAGGAGAATGCCTATCTATGAGACTCAAATAGACCAAGTCCGAGGATAATGTGGTGTCGTCGAGAAGCAGTAGGCATGGACTTAAGTCATGCGATATTGGATGCTTATTCTTCTGGCGCAGGCTCACCCAAAAAAACCGGTAGACGAGATCGCCTTACTTGCACCCAACGGCATCAGCATCGCCATGTTCCTGTGCAAGAATAAGACTTTTACCATTCTCACAACAACTCCAATCATGTAATCCTGTAACACTTATTGGTTCCGCAACGGTATATAAAGGTGTGCATGCTGACATGCCAAGTAGCACTCATCTGCACGCTTTCTCATTCCATCGCCATGTCTGGTATCGATGCATGTATCAAGGTCGCACAGTTGACCGCTGCAGCAGGCGAAATGGCTCCGTTTCCCTTTATCAAAGGTGCTGCCGAATGTGTGGTCCTCGTACTCGAGTCCATCAGGGTATACCATCATTTTTTTTCCTAGTGTACATGTTAACGAGATCTGCAGGGCGTCTCGAAGAATAAGAAGGATATGCAAGAATTGGCTGAAAGTATCGTCGCTATACTGGTTGATATAAGGGACACCATCATCGAACATGGTCCGACTAGTGCCACGCGTTTTCAGACGATCTGCGTCGAGTATCAGACGTGAGTTGACCCACATGATCTATCTGTACTTCTCACGCAATCTATGCGCAGGCGTATAACTGATCTCCTTTCCGAGCTGAACAGCAAACGCAGGTTTCCACAGGGAATCTGGAAATACTTGAGAGCCACGAAGGTCTCGGATGATATCAACGATTTACAGCAGCGAGTACGGGCGATTCAGAAGTCCTTCCTGGTGGGTGGCTTGCTATCATTACTATAGTCCACTTCTGAACTGGCAGCAGGTCCGTACGGCGACCATGACACAACTAGCCGTCTCCGATGTTCAGGATCAAGTTGCCGCAGGATTCAGCACTCTGACTGGTTCCGTTGAGGCGTCGGAGAGGCAAATCACATCAACCATCAAGGAAAATATCGACGAGATACGCACCTTGGGTGCTCGGCAAAGCGAAAACATGGAAAATCTTTCGACAAGATTACTACAGGCTTCTCATCAACGGGGTCTTTATAAGGGGCTGGTATGCAACCTCCAATCATTCCGCCCTTGGTATTTCAACCTTTGCAGGTCTGGGATTTCATTCCAGGCGACATCCGCATAATCAAGCCAGTAACTCGTTCATTAGGAAGCTATTGTACAACTCGTACTGTTACATACAAGGACAGCTATGGCACCGTCGAGAACAGCGATACATGGAAGATCATTCGCGAATACCAAGCTCTTGGTGATAACGGAGAGGATGCGATGAAAGTGAGTGCATAACACCATATGTCATCGGCAAAGTCCACATGCCTTTATCTAGCAACTTGATAAAGCCCTCGACATCTTCATGAAACTAAAGTTCGGCTCTCCATATCTGTGCAGCTGGCTAAAAACCCACGTTGTAAAGGAGACACCCAAACGTTGCCCAGATCTTTGGTGTATGCAGGTCACCTAATCTTCCGGTGATCATATTCCATGGTGAGAATGCTGTTGTTTCCGTTTTCTTCCGCTGCAGCTAACTCCCACGGGTAGGCACAACAAGAGTCCCTTTCAGCCATTATCAACATAACTTGACTGCGAAGCGGTTCCTACCATTCTATTATGAGTTGGTAAAGTGTATCCTCTGTGTTCTGAGTAAAGCAGCTGACCTCCGGGTGCCTGTAGATTCAAGATCTACGGGTATGTCTGGCAAGAGTTCCATGGGCTACAGTTCAAGAACTATTCTTACAGTCGGTCTTGAAATTTTGGCCACGTTCTCTCTCGCGTACGTGCACCACATATCCCGTCAGTAGTTTCGTGAATGATTTTCCTGTGTACTAAACGTTTTGAAGGATGAGAATGCACTCTATGTCAATGAGTATGACAAAATTGTATTTGGAGACCTACCTTATAGCTATTACGATCTCAACTTGTTCTATTTGTCTTTAACCGGAGCCAGAATGTTGCACGTCCTCTTTGCTTACAATACACGCGACTTGATCGAACAGAGTCGAAGCAGGAGATGGATGTGGCGAAGCGGAGGTTTACGAGATCATTATGACGCTATTGAGTTTCTTTATATGCGAGGTTGCCCAGACGAGGAGCAGTCGGACGAGGAGCACCCCTATGCGCAGGGCAGTGTAGTAATCAATCCTTCGTATCATGTGAAGGAACTCTTGGGACTAGATTCACCCCGAGCCCAGGAAACTTTAGTTGGGAGACTGTGGCCTTCGCCGCTTGAGTGGAAGTGGGAGGTACGCTTGCTAGGAGTGGAAAACGAACAGGGTTTTTTATCATTGGACAAGTTCGTCGTTCAGTTGAGCTTTTTCGATCTTACTGATTGTTGACTGCCAGCGGGTCGGTCACGATGTCCATTAAGCCTTCATCGTTCCATAACCTTTGCATTTCTATCTATGTGCGTTCGGGGGCTGGGATTATGCAATCGTGGATCGCACGGGCTTCCAAGATGTATTTATATCTTCGCTCCATAGGCTATGGAGATGATGTTGGCTTAGATATCATAGATGGTGGGCATCTGGTTCCGTGAAACAACTGCTGACTGGTGTACATATGTAGGTATGATCTTCACCGTTTATCCAAAGGACAGGGACAGCCCTTGTCACCTCTGCAATCTGACGAACGATCATCACGCGCTCTCCTTGTCGGTAACCGCCCCCATTGTCGATTATCAGACCAACATGATTAAATCCTTCCCCGTCATCTCTTGTCTCCGAGCCTGCGGCATGGATTCGGTTGAGGCAGATGTTCCTCTCCGGGTTCGCAGGCACCTTACACGACGCCCATTTCAGTTGCATAAAACGGTGGTTTTGACCATACCCAAGTTGAATGCCGAGTACGGATTCGACCCCGGGCGCGAAGGTGCTGATGTATGCGAGCATTTTGGGTGGCCACTCCTTCAGATCCTTGACCCTTCCACGGGAGGTGGGTAGTTCTTTCTGCGCAGCGGGTATCTTGCTAAGGAACACAGAATGGACGTCAAATGGGGCCGCATCCCAGTCCTCCGGGCCTGCGCCAGTCGTATCGGACAATACGCCAGATCAGACGTTGAATGAAGAGCCCGACTCTATACCGTGCGGTACGGACGTGGCCATGGGAAACATCAAGGAAGCGCAAGCTGGCGAGGCTCCGACCAAGACAGAGATCGTTCCCGTTGTGCAGCATGATATCAGCACACGGTTGCTCATCGTCATATTCATCGCTATTGGCATTCAAGTTATTCTAACTCTGTCATCCTTTCATAACTACTTGTAGATATAGATCTGATAATTCGTCGTATAGTCTTTTGGCTTCAGTAGAACTTTATAACTTGCATTTCTCATATACAATTTTAGAGGTTGCGGCTTATATCTTCCCACGTCAAAGATTCATCTGCAGTTCCATGATCAAGCCTCTGCGACGCTTCGACCTCTAATTGCTAAAAGTTGTCAAACGCATAGAGCCTTTCGTTGTTCTTCTGGTTCAGCAGGTTTCAAAAAAGTCACACTAAAACTAAATGACGTAACTGCATCTACAGCCTCAACATGGATGATGAGGAGCTCTCGTGGACGTCAGCTTATGAAGAGCGCCTACGAGCAGCCGTGCAGGATATACAACTAGGAAGGGTCCGACCTAGTTGGTTCGAGCTCGTCAAGGATTCAACGAAACCCAGAGCAACTCAATCTCAATCTTAGTGACTGGGAGGACTGGATGTGGGAAATCGGCTTCCCACCTCCCTCCGCACCTCCCCCTCTCCCCGAGTATGTTCCCTGCACACCCTCAGGCACGTTCTCTTTTCGCTCTGCCTGCCTGCTGACTTCCAATTTGATTACACTATGCAGCCGCGTATACAACAGTCATGTTGTATGGGATTTTGCTACCTGAGTGAAGTCCGGTTCAGCTAACACGAACGAACAGAAACAAGGGGAAATCCTTACCTAGTACAATGTCCTATTGCTTAGCCATGCCTGGTCATAGATTTGCCATCAGCATGAAATAAGGAGCTGAGATGGGCACCTTGCCTTGTTGTCTCTCAAGGTTCTTTCAAGGAACCCTATACAAGCTTGGGCTGGTAGTAGAAAAGAACAGAAATCAAGCACACGTACCATGGTGGCATGGCATACTCAGTAGCTCCCCAAACAACGATACTCGACAACCCAGTTCGGCAGATCAAAGGGTCTACAGAGCATTCCAACACGCGCCATGAGTAATTTTCATGCCAAATTCAGGCCTATCGGGTGTTAATCGCCCCCATCGATGTCTAGGTTTGGTAAACCCCGTTCTGAAAAGATGGCGTGAGCGGGAGCATTGTGATCAGGAAGATTGCATGCCATTGGATATGGTACTGGTTGTGCATGCTTTGACAACGAGCCTAGGAGAAGTTGAGGAAAATGAGAGAAATCTCAAATGTTCGTACACGCACCTCTAGCCCTACATACCCATAGAGACATTGAAGATTTGGGCTCTATTGGGGGAAATGTCGTGAGAAAAGGGCACAAGAAATGATAATAAAAAAAGTTTACCTTGGTCCTCTTCTCCTTCTCCGTCCAGTCCACACGTGTCCACGCCGTTGCCGTGACCATTCCGGAGGAAGTGTGAAGATGACAGCTGCAAAACTGAGGTAAGTGATGGAAAAGATATCAAGGATTCACTCACCATTCGAGGAAGCACCTTGCACCTCCAATGGAAGTCAAGGGAAAAATCATCAATCATCAGACCTGCTCTAAAAACAAGTACGTTTTGAATCACGAGACCGCGGCATGTCAAAGACACGAGCGGGATGACAGATGTCATAATCTCGAAGCCAGACACAGTGACAGCATCTAGGTGGTCCTTTAAAGTCACGATGATAAGCAAAGATGAGGAAGAAAGAAGAGCAAATGATGAGAATGGGTTGGGATGAGGTATTCCAGGGATGATGATGCCCACTCGCAGATCCAAAGCGAGTTCACTCGCTCGCTGAATCATTCGTCTATCGTGACCTTCCTCCCCAGCTCCAGCATCCACAATCTCCTCCACTGATACACCTTCTCCCTCGCCCTGTCCAGTCTGTATCCATAACTCTCTCAAACATCACCATACGGTAGCCCTCTGGCATACTCTCCACACAGGTCCACAGGCTGGTCGTAGGGGTAGTCTGACATCGCGAATGGCGTGACATTCTTCTTCCAGCCTCCATTCTTCGGACGCAGCAGAACTCTCCTCATGAAGCGCATATCGGCACCCACTTTAACGATATCCCTCCACTCCTTGTCAGGACAACCAGGCTGTCTGATGCATGCAACGTCCAAAATCGATTACAACAGCAGATCTATCCAAGCCCCGTAAAACGACGTTGCCGATGTGAATGTCGTTATACAGTACGTGGTTCTCTGCCTCGGTACCACGGAACGCGTCCAGCAACGGTTGGAGATGGTCTTGGCATCTTCGTGGGACACGTCAATACCGGATTTGACTTGCTCCATGTTTGAGCCTAGTATGCACTCCGAAGCGAGGCCTCGAATAGTATCGGTGATGGCGTAGAGGGGCGTGTAGGCGATGGGAAGACGAACGACACCGTGCAGGTGAAGGATGGCAGTCCCTTGCAGGCGCCACAAAAGACGATATGCCGCCAGCTCTGTATCGTACTCATGCGATTTCCACAGCCAGGTAGAAACTTCCCACATCCAATCCTCCCAATCCTTCCTTTCTCAGGCCAGTTTGGGTTGCCGTAGTATCGTATGAGCTTGAACTAGTTGACTATGGCCCTGGACTGGACATCGCGTACGGCATCTCGAGCTTCGATAGCTGATGTCCATTGTATGTCCGAGCTAATCTCTGCACTGCGATATCCCAGTCTGCGATCGGCTAGCTCGAGAATGAATGGCGTGCTGCCGGACGGGTGCTGAACGAGGAGAATGACTGCACAGGTGGTGGCTGGAAGTGCTTGATGACTATAGCAGTGAAAGGCTGCAGAGCTACTTGCTTGGAACAGTAGGTGAAGCTTTGCCCTAGGTAGATACAAGTCGTTGGCGCTGGAACAAAGCAAATAAATATGATTTTTCAAACTGCTTCAATGGAATGACGAACTTTGTATTGGCGCGATAGAAATACAACGTCGTCCACGCTCCGAGTCGCGTCAGATACGGCATACATTGGATAACGAAGTTAAGTGGTAAGAGTCGAGTCTACTATATGAAGCAAATCTGAGGACTTGTTCGTTGCCCACTGCCAGGGCGTCGTGGTTGTGCTCCAATGAAGGCCACGTGGGGGGCAAGTAGATATTATTAAATAAATATTTATCAACTATTCCTCTAACAATACCACCACCGTCTGAGCATTCTTCCTGACGTTCTCTCAAGTCCAAGCTACCTCAGTGTCTATCCCTTTCGCCAAAACTGTATCATTGCTCCCTCCGACCGCCAGAACAACGGGACAACAACCTGTTCTCAAGTCCATATCACCAAAGGTCGGTACATTCCTTTGTTGAATCCGGAATAATAGACTAGCGTCTCACCGGCATCTCCAGAGTCCCCTTCGCACAAACTAAAAGGCGTCAATCGCGTTGTACTCAATCGACCCAACCTGGACATTTCCCGAATATGAATTGGACTGACCATGAAACGGCTCCAGACTTTACCCCGACCATCTTTTGTATTCCCGAGGCCGTTTTTCATATGTAGCACACATATAAACTCACCGACCTGCCACCGGCGCTTGACATTGTCAGCAGTCACAAAGCAACTTCACTCGCCACAAAGGTACGTCAACAATAAATATTTTATTAACTTATAGCTTGCATTTCTTACATTCAATTTTAGAAGTAATAACTTGTATCCCCCTGGGACAAGAGTCCACGACATTTCGACCTCTGGTTGCTAAAATCGTCAAACGGCTGGAGCCTTTCACATCCTCCGTCCTTCTCATTCAACAGGTTTCCGACGGCAAACAATTTATGCTAAAGCTAAATGACCGTAGACTGGGCCATCGTCACAGCCTCGATATGGAGGATGGCGAGTTCCCGTGGACGACGGCCCTTGAAGAGCATCTACGAGCAGCCGTGCAGAACATACAACTCGGAACGACCACCAACTGGTTCGACCTCGTCAAGGATTGGAAGCACCCTGCCCAACCTGATCTGGATGACTGGGAGGACTGGATGTGGGAGATATTGACATGGACTTCGAGAATGGAAGAACATCAAACCGAGGTGAAGGCATATCGTTTATTACGCCGACTACAGGGTCGTCTCATTCTCCGCTTCTACGGTCTCGTTCATCTCCCTATTTCTTCCTCCCAGCCTCTTCACCCAATCTCGAATTACATTCCCTGCCTCATTATCGAGGACATCCAAGGTGTGAGCATGGGCTCGCTCAAACCCGGTGTTGATATCCCTCGACCGGAGGCAGAGGCGCTTGCTGACCGTGTTATGGACGCCTTCCGGACGATGAAGGCGGGACTCGGACAGGTCCCCGGTCCTTATTGACTTTGAATGGGCCTTGACGAGGGAACCAGGGATGAGTGATGAGGAGTGGGAGAATTCGGTTTCAGGGTCTCAGAACACGCGCTTTCCGCGTAGGGTTCTTATGAGTAAAGATCATGGGGTGTGGAGAAGGAAGGGGATGCCGCTGCCGATGAATTACTATTATTCTGCGCTAATGTGGAACGAATACGTCGAGAACCAGCCTGAGGATTATTGCAGACAGACGTTCGAGAGGGTCCCGGGTACGGATTGGGAAGGTGCAAGAGAAGAAGTACTGCAGTGGCGCGTCAAGCCGGGTATTCAGTGCAGAGATGACTAGGCGTTTAAGGTGGGTTCACTTCAGAGTCATTCATACATCATGCTGACAGAGCTCAAAGGCGTTCGGTGGGGACCTTGCATGTCACGCGTATCAAACGTTGTTTCCCAATGTCGAGGGTCAGCCATGACTAGGACTCGTGAAAAAGACGCATCGTCTCATTTACGCGCTATGTCCACGGAATTACAACCTTTGTTGGTTCTCAACGGCATCATGTCTCCATGACTACAACGATTATCATATGGCAGGTCTTTGGCATTCAACGAATGCGTGGAAAGTATGCTTGAAGACTTCCGTAGAGCGAGAAAGTGAGCCAGTGGCGTATCAAGCTAGGCGTTCGTTCAAGTTGTAGGCCTTGGTACGACTTCGCTCAGACGGCGCACGTAAACGATTTTATAGACTAATGTAGCACCGAGCCTTGATCTGCAAATACAATTGGTCGCAGGGGTGATAGTCCCAGTCCGTGGATGCGTTTAGGAGGCGGATAGGTCTTATCAGCTAGTCGTGCCGTACTCGGGTTGCTCCGTCAATGGACTCAGAGGCATCGTTGTAGTATTATCGTCTTTCTTTTCGAGTTTGCAGATTTGGAGGCATGGCAGTAAGTGTTTGAAAGCAGCATGGAATGGTTATAAGTGTCTCAAAAGTATGTATCGGTGTCTGTCTCTTTTCAGTCAATGTGATCCTCTAGCAATGAAAACAACTTACGTTGCAGAGCTGAGGACGTGCATAGTTCCCGCTGAGTTCTTTGATAAGAGTAAAGGAAACAAGACGTCTGAGGCGATATAGAAGATCAGAAGATATATCGAAGGGGAGACCTAGGATGCAGACAAGTCTGGCTCATGTTAAAAAATGCTCGACCATCTGGAAGAGCAGAACTCATGAACATACGGTCAAGCGAGAAAAGGTGCTAAGCCCTTGCTCGTGCTGACATTGGTGCCGTATGCTCGTGTTGTGCCATCACATCAATAATCGACGATAATCCCAAGGTATTTAGCTGCTTGTGCCAAGAGCCACGGCATCTGAAGTAGGCGCGATTTACAGTCCAATGTCGGTGAGGAAAATGTAGTGGATACAGAGTTGAACGTTGTAAGACCAGTCACTGGCGCTGACTCATCTTGACTTCTCTCCATCACCTTCGTGCCGTTCTTGGTTGTCGTGTTCTGCATACAAGAATTGGTCCTTATTTCTGAACAAATAGGTCAAATAATGGTGCTAGGGCGCGGGTTGGCGTTGACGGAGGACATATATATGCTGAGAATTCGTTATACGCTATGATGTTCGCCTTTACTATCCTCTTCTTTCAGGCCCACTAGCGTGATAACATCAAGGCAGACCGCTCCATACTCTTTGTCTCTTTTCCTTGGATTCAGCAGTGGTGGTATAGATTGCGAAGTGATTCGACGATTCCTTCTTGGCCTGAGAAGATACTTGCATGAGGGTTTTCGTTGAAGGCCTCAGCAGTGGAATCAATGTATGCACCGTCCTTCAGCTCCTCCGCCCTATTCCTGTGCAGTGGGAGCAAACATATACCCATAGGTATCCCTCGTAATCCATGTTCTACAGATTCGGAACATCATCTAATGAAGTTAATGACTGTAGGTCCCGGAAGGTGATTGTCGATGGAACATAGCGAATCTAGGAGGGCGATGTTCCGTGCCTCATCGTCCTCGCTAGACCATCTGAACCGGAGTCGATGGTATGCCTGCCTGGATTTCTATGACGAAAGACGGATCCGTAGGCGCTCCTTTCGTTCATACGTATCGTCACTGAGTATGAGCGGTATCTTCAGGGTTGCCGAACGCACGCTCATGACAAGGTTTTAAAAAAAGGATGACAGGTGGAATAGGCGATATCGGCCCAGACGAAGCGGGTCCCGAACTTTGCTTAGGTTTTTGAACAAAACCAGTTGGACTGGCTCGTTCGAGCTCCAGAGGGGAAGGATTCACAGCCACTATGTATGTTCAGATACGAAGGAACCCACATCGCGTCACCCTTCTCTACCTTGCACGCGGTCACTTGATTTTCGGTACGGAGGTGGAAAGGTCATGGGATTGCAGGTTCGCATCAAGAGTGAACCTCAGTCCCAAGCATCGGGCTAGCCAGCATCACGCGTTCCAAGGATCGGCAGCTACTCCGACTTGCTACTTGTGCGATCGATCTATGCTGACAGACAGCAGAACGAGACGCTGCGGTCATATGCGATCCTCCTAGGTCCTAGTCGCCAATGACTAAACGCTGGCAATGCATATAGGCAAGATGTCGAAAGAACGTTGAATAACGGTCGACATGGCATTTGTCTGCGAAAACAGTATGAAACAGGCAGCCTCGCTCTCTTGCCTTGGACTTGCCGATGAAAATATGCTTATCCTGTTTTGGTTTGGGGCAATAGATGCTCAAGGACCAACAGAGCAGCCCTCGAGTAACGGTGCGACTGTCGTTCGTCATTGCTCCGAAATAATAGTCAGCCTCGGTCATCGGACATACATCGACAATGTCATGCATGGACAGACCTTGTCCGTTCCGGGAGACAAGGATCTGTGGTTGGGCTGACTTGCCCGTCCTCTGATCGATATGCATGTACGGACTACTGGGCAATGTGCTGTGGTCCACAGACAATCCCTGATGTCGTGATCATCAACCATAGGCAGAATGTCGACGTCGAATATGTATGAAGGTGTTAGGATATTAAAACGACAGTCGTTGCGACATTGCCTAAGACGGTCGTCAGACGCGCTGTCTGATGGTTGCTTTGGCTTGTGAAAGAGGACATGCTTCTCCGGTTTGGTTCAGTGGGGTCGAAGCGCACGAGGTCTGGCAGATAGATGATGAGGAGAAAGGTTTGGCGGCCATCGAAGAGCGGCAATGACTACTTTCAGAGATTTTGGCGCTGTCCTGGGATACCGGCTTTTGTGTGATGATAAGATCCGACGTTGGTGGTCTTCGCTGCTAGGAGTGGCAAGAGATCCGGGAAATCGGCGGTAAAATCCTGAGTGTCGCCATTGATATTTATGCGAAGCGGAAGGCTCTGAGGTGGAGATATCACGACAAAAGAGCAATATGGTGACACGAAGACGCTTGCGCATCGTTTCTTCTCTGGTAGAGAAGATCTGATGATTGTCGGGGGATTTCCCAGAGAGAGATGACCAGCGTTGAGGATAACGAGTATCTTTTGGCAAAAGGTACCACCGGGAGCATGATTGTGTCCGCCACGGATTTGTTTTGGTTATTTTCCAAGGTGGGATTCACGTGGCTTTCTGCTTTGTTCATTCCTCAACTTTGTTAGTCTTTAGCACGTCAAGCCAATGCACATCTCCGGGCTAACGTTGAAGTTGAAGCTCAGGCTTCGAGCCTTATTCAGGAGGGCGAAACGTCGAAGCAAGCCTTGTCCTGTCTCCTTACTCACCTTGCCCAAAGAGCTAATCCAGGAGGTCTCGTATTTCGTGAGCTCTTTCATCTCGCCACCAGCATGCCACCTCATTAAACTCCTTCAGCTGTCTGGACATGACCAGAAGGCGCTCCGCTCGACATGCCATCATGCAGATAATGTTCTCCGTAGTACCGTCCTCTCAGCCCTCGTTGTCAACATCTTCCTCCCTTTAACCAATCTCGACCAGGATCTCCTCGAATATCTAGCTAGTGGACCTGCAGGCTACGTCCATAGACTGAGAATTTGTATATGGAGCTCGTATTCCGAGCAACGTGCCCTGCCTGACTGCGGCGTGGTTGAAGGCGGCCATTTCAAAGCCAAGCCCCGGTCGAGACATCCACGTCTCCAGACGAAAGTCAACACAGAAGCGTTTCGCGCTCTTTATAATACGGTGTTGGCATCGTTAACTAACTTGCAGATATTCACGTTGTGGTAAGTTCAGCCAAACCTCTAAAGAGAGTCTGCCACTAATTTTTCCCTTCAATTATAGTACCAGCAATGGATCTCGTAAAGCCCCGCCATTCTTCTTCGAAGACACGTTAAATTGGTTGATGAAGCGACCTATCCTCGAACTGCACCTGACCCACCCCGAGTTCACGATACCTTATTTCTCCCATCTCTCCCGGTTTCGCAATATCCGCAGCGGATCAGTGGGACCGAAGCACCACAGGCCTAGTAGTCTCCGGTATAGAGCGTGTTTTCCCTATCAAATCGACCGGAAGTACAGCGCTTCGTCATCTCTCGTTGCGGGAAGGCAGTATCATCGCAGCCCCTCATATTTTCCATCACCTACGCGGCCTCAAGTCACTCCAGATATCCAACATCGATCTCTACCATTCCTCGGCAGGCTTCTGGATGGAGCTCGCTCAACAGGAGATACACATACCCTCCATTACCCTGAGGACCCGCAGTGTGCCTTCCGCAGTTATTGACTATCTTGTCACCAATGAGGGAATGATCGAGTTGGCGTTTGAAGCGGAGAGCAATAGTAGAAGCATGGTGAAGCGAGTGTTGAGTGAGGTGGTGCCGCGTCACTCCGGGACTCTGGAGGTTCTGCAGCTGACGTCGTGCTGAGGGTGCCATTGGATTTTTGGCTCTCAGCCTGAGCATATGACAGGTGTGTCCCAATGTACGAAGCTCCGCATTTTGGGTATCGTGGTGGAAGGAAATAGAGATTTTACAGTGTGTATCATTTCCGCCCATCATCATATGCAAGTCTTATCCTTCTGATAGGGCCCTGTTTTGCACCTGCTGAAAGCCCTGCCAATTCTTCAAACCCTGCGGCTGGTCGCTCACACAAATGATTTTACTCCCGTGGTCAAGCGGATTGAATGCATACGTGTATTATTGATGCATGTTCATGTCATTGTGTCCGTTTCGTATCAGGTGCACATCAAGTTCATGGCTGGGAAATCTGGGTGGGATTTCGATGATGAGGAAATGGATGTGCTATGTGATGATCTATAGTATTTGGATGCATGATGTGTCTGTAGAACTGAATGAAGGATGTGAATTATCAGTCCTTGTTGGATCTACTACCAGCCTTTGTAGTAGATCCAACAAGCACTGACAAATTCACATCCTTCATTCAGTTCTACAGACACATGAATTTCTCAGTGCTTGTTAGATCTACTACAGAAACTGTGAACCAGCCTTTGTTAGTTGTTCTTAGCATTAATGTCAAGCTATTCATTACTTCCATGACTGTTCATTCTCTCAATGCCTACTTGCTGAATAAATGAAGGAATAACTCCAGCTGCAGAGTAACACCAACCCAGTGGAAGTGGATCTACTGAAGGTTCACTGTCTGAGGCCAAATGCAGACTGGGAGAACTTCAAATGAGGAGGTTTCTCTCTAGAGTAGTAGGCAATGTCTTTTGGCAAAGGAATCACATTTAGACATAGTCCTAATACTTGTGCAACATGATCATGTGAGAAATAAAGCTATAGTTGAAATAACACAGTATAACGATGTAGTCTAGCAAGTTGTTGCTAATCGTAGTTGATTAACGGCGGTGGAGACCCATCCGAGGATGGACAGTGAAAGCAAATAGTAAGTGGCACCACAGTGAGCCGGTTTATCCAGCTTTCAATTCATTGTGATCTGGTTAATGGGTTGCATATTTAGTGCACATGATCACTTTTGAGAATTCATGACCTGAAGGAAAGCATTATGGAGCACCAGGTGAAAATCAACACTCACTGCCCATAATGGAGTGCTTTTTGAAGTACTTACTAGAGCCATTAGTAAAGCATAGAATAAGTACGCATGACATTTGTTCAAGGATCTACAACTTACTTTTCCCCTAAGGTGAATGTTATGTTGACAGACTGTGTGAGGATCCTCAAAAGAGGAAAAAGTAAACAAACTGCATCGCGGAAAACAACAGTAGGAGTCATGGAAACCGGCGGGTTAACCCAGGGCCGTAGCGCCGATCACCACGTGCAGTCACGTCACCTTGCTCCGATCGTGACTTATAAACTTGAACCACGACGCTCATGCCACTACGGATCTCCATTTACTTGTACATCAACAACCGTGTCTCTGAAGGAACTACCTTTGTGGAAGTTTCGGATGGTGCTTCATGCGCTGATTTAAGGAAAGCGTTTGCTGCCGAAAAGCAGATCCCTGAGGATAATATATTACTGTGGAAGGTACTGTTGTCTTTGCTGTTGTTGTTCATGTTGTTCATGCTCCAAAAGCCACGTGAACATCTAATACAGAACCGTAGAGGCTCTGCTGACTTGCGGGGCCGACTGCTGGATAGCGGTTGTCGACTGGACGTATTTTGTGACGAAATAATAGACACGGAATTAGTCCGCGATGTGTTGCCTACGAGTAATCACCATCGTCAGGCGGCACTAATTGCTCTTGTTGCTCAGATTACACCTACGAAACAGACCGCGATGTTGCCAGACAAAATGTAAGGCGAGCTCGAAGAGCAACATGGTATCCTTGGGGAGCTGGGGAAAAGTGTGTCGGTCTTTGCTGTCTCGCAACATGCTCTGACTAACCCTACACACGCAGAACTCTACATCGCCGTCAAAAATTTACGACGTGGTAACTCCATCCAAAAGCGCTAAATCAACGAACTACTTCAACCACCAAGACGGCGTGACACCGATCCTCGACGGTCGTTATGGCCTTCGGCGGACGCCAATCCCTCCTCCGACCGAACTCTATCATCGCATCATTGCTTCTTTCCAGGCTTGCATTCGCGACGAGTCCTTGCACGTTCCAGCTCATGAGGACTCCCTCTCAGATATCGACCGATGAGTTCGAGCGTGAGGATCCCACCAGGAATATTTTGTCGCAACTGCTCAACCGTCCAGTTTTCCAATTGCTCAACCCCAAGACGGATTCAGGCTACATTTTGCAATTCCAACGTAGATCTCCCCCCGCGGTAGCGGCTGGTGTCATATGCGAAGAAATGGAAGAATTAGGTTGGAGCGGCGAAGGTTCCATTCAAGGCTCTTTCTCGTATGCTCAGTACTGGACGCAGAAAGACATCCAAGCTTGTGGCTTATCTTCTGTTCATCTCCGTGCTGATGTATCACTTCTCCAGCGCGAACATTTTTTCAAAGCATGCTGCTACCCTTCGTTCATTGTCTCCATTGCAGGACCTTGGATTGTCATTCTAGGCGCTGTCTTCCCGACTCCGCCAATCGTCCAGCGTTTGACCGACTATCTATGGCTTGGCAACAGTCGTTCTAATGACGACCATGCTCTTCGCCTCGCTCACGTTTTTCAGTCTCTGAGATTAGCTGTCGACGACCTTGAGAAGTACTACCAGGAGCTTGGACTCTCAGACTCCCATTCCCTACAGGCCACTCGCTACTTTCCCGACATAACCGAATACGACGACAACACGAAAGTCGTCAGATTCCAATACCTTCAGCCCCTGGAAATAGATGAGTCGTGCATGACGTTCCTCGCGAAGCTCGACGAGGCGCATGGAGAGGAACAGGTCGTTGTAAATTTTGTTGAGCGATGCGGTGCCGAGGCCCACAGGCTGTTAGCGAGTAAAGGGAAGGCGCCAGCACTAAAGTATTGCGGTCCGATTTCCAGTGATGGCAAGTACTGGTATGGATCCCTTCAAATGGTCGTTATGGAGTCCCTCCGCGGCCCGACGGTAGCACAGAAGTACGAAGAGAGCATTGCGGAGACAGTGCGCGAAGCGGTTCGAGGCGCTGTTCGAATTCTTCACGACCAGTCACTCGTTCATGGAGATATTCGCACGCCAAATATTGTGATCGTTGATGGTGCGGGAGATGAAGGGGAGAGGATGAGGATCATCGATTTTGACTGGGCAGGTGAGCAAGGCAAAGTAAGATATCCGCTGCATCTCAGCAACTATATACGGAACACACTGGGAGTCAAAGACTGTGATATTATTACATTTCAGCATGACATGACGATGGTGGATGCGTTATAGTCATTTCTGCATGTTGTTTATTGTTACTACCATCGAACTTGAACGGTTGGAGCAATCACGAAACAAGGAGTATAAAGAAGAGTTCTATTTCATCAACACTCCTGTAGATCGTGGCGGGAATTTATCTTCCGATAAGTACCTTGCTGATGACTTGGACTGCTTGGAATGTACTATTGTACAACTAGCTCGCTAGGTTATCACATTAGGTGAGTGTCAGGTTTCTTCGCTCTCGATGGGAACAGCTTCGGCGCTGGCCTGTTCAGCGCGCCATAACGCCCGAGACGGTCGTCATTCAACCTTTCTACACTGTTTCAATGCCCGTATCCTTGTCAGGCATATACCAGGTACTTAACGAATATCCCAGCTTATGTACGGGATTATGACTGACAGTTTTGTGGGAGGGGCGGTGAGGCCGATCCTAATGTCTATGCGTGCTTAGTTCCTACCGTCCAAGCTGAAGAAATTACCTCTCGCATAGGAAGTTTCCAAGGAAATGTGAAGGTCCACCTCGTATGTTCTCTGATTCTTTAGCAGTGTCCCTTCCAATGTCTCACAAGCCAGAGAATAACTTGAAGGACTTCTTCAAGGTCACCGTGTTCGGTCTTCATTATGTCTACTCCAGGGTGCCGACGAGGCGTCTACGAGCGGCATAAGAGCATTTACGATAGTTACTAGAAGGTGGGAGTATCATTATGCGCGGGATCATGGCATGTATCTTTGTGACAGGCATCGGAGTCTTATGAGGAGAATTCTGAAGGATCCTGACAATGGAGTATGGAAGAGGACGGTGATGCCGTATGAAATGTCGGACCCGCACTATAAGAAGCCTTTGACATTTAACGAATATGTGGAAAGCATACCTGAAGAATTTCGAAGGATGTCGTTCGACAGAGTGTTGGATACAGACTGGAAAGGGGCGAGAGAGAAAGTGTACCAGTGGCATATCAGGTCCGGAGTTCGTTGTACGCCCATCTACGACTACGACTAAAACTAGTGGGCGCGACTCCGCTTGCATAAGCGACCAGCCTACATCATTGTCGATGCTGTGGTTACCGTCGGCTATCGCGGTATAGAGCGACGTGTTCAATGTCCCCGCCATTTTTCTTTGTTCCATTGGCGCAAACTAGCTCATTACCTGATACTTCGGCTCTGGTGCAGTCTCAAATGTATTGGTCACTTAGCTCCGTTGCATCCAATTCAGATTTCCCCACTCCAGGCCGCAAAAGCGGAAGAAGGGTGTCTCTTCTTGGCTTCAGAATTGTGCCATATCTTCTCGGCTGCTTGAAATTTGTTAGGGGCCCCCAGTCTATACTGAAGGTGTATTCTGGGCTCGCCGCATGTGTCCTGTTTCCGTTTTGATGCCACATTCAGTTTATCATCCTCCCCTCGTAGCCAGTCTCATCAAGAATAATTTAATTCCTCAAGGGCTGCATATGTTCCCCATCTGAAATCGGCATGATAGTAGTCATTGATCGTAACAGTGAGATCATCATTAATATTTACCAACAACCCTCATGGCGGGTTGACAGGTGCTAATGCCTGAATATTACCCATAATGGCATGGCCAATGGGTAGGAGGCCACGGTCCGAATATCCCGTAACACATGGCTCTAAGACTTTCTGGCGCCGCCATTGGCGCAGTTTGACTATTTTCTCCGCATCATGCTTCGTTATCTGACTCGATATACAAGGCTCTTCACGCAAGCCAACCATGAATTTCGATAGCACCGGTTACGAGGTACGCTAATGCAGTTCTTACTGAAACACCCGTGCTGATTTTCGTTATGCCAGAGGGGAAGAACTGTATCTCCCTGGAACGAAGCTCCAGCTCCAATTCCAACCTGAAGGCTCCAAGACATTCGCACCTCTCGCAGCCACAGTGGTCAAACGCTTCGAGCCCATCACAATCGGCACTGTCCTTCTAGTCCAGCGACACGCCAATGATGAAAAGTTTATCCCAAAGCTGGCGGACCGCAAACTGGGGTATCGTGGCAATAACGACGACGTGGATACGGTGCCGTGCGTCGTCCGTGATATTCAGGCGGGCGTAAAACCAAACTGGTTCGAATTCATCCAGGATTCTGACAACCAACCCAGCGATGAGCTTTGGGAGGATTGGATGTGGGAGGTCGACACTTGGCTTGGGAAGATGGGGTGCTACGACAAGGAGCTCACTGCGTATCGTCTTTTGCATCGACTGCAGGGCCGGTACATTCCCCGTCTTTTTGGCGTCGTTCGTCTTGGCATCACCTGTGAGTCTACTCCCCTCCATCCCATCACCGATCCCAGAAATCTTCTTTTCTCTTCTCCCCATTAACTGGGCGAGTCACTTCTGGAATCAACTGGCAATAGGGTGGCATCCTCTCGACGGTTTATGTAAAGGAAAATCTTCTTTTTGAAGTTCGACCATCATGACTTATGACTATATGAAACCGCGATTAATCAATTTGTCGCCAGTCTTCTCTCCTCACAAGGATTTTCTTTTACCGTCGCGCAGCTATCTTTCCTACTCCTGGTCATTTCCAATCATCGTCATTTGCAACAGCAAGCAAGGCGAGAGTCCAACAGAAGTACGTACATCCATACGTTAAATCTCGTTGCTTACCTTGATTTGACTTTAGTGACAACTTCTACCAACCCGGAACAAGAGTTGACCCCTAATTTCGAGCCCCAGCCTCTGCTACATTCACACCTCTGTCAGCCACAATTATAAAACGCTTTGAACCTTTCACATGCGCAGTCGTGTTTCTAGTTCAGCACCCTTCGAATAGCAGACCATTTATACTAAAGCTCGCCGATAGGAGGCTAGGCTATCGCAGAGGCCTGTTTGGCGACTCTGTGCCGTGGACACCTACCATTGAGTCTCGCCTCCGAGGTGCCGTTCGCAATATCCAGACGACTGTGGGCCTGGACTGGTTTCAGCTCTTAGAGAGCTACAACAACCCTGATGCTCCTCCAATCAGGACCTGGGAGATTGGATGTGGGAAATGTCGACTTGGTTTTGGAAGTCGGATTTACACAGTACGGAGCTCCTTGCATGCCAGTATTTGCATCGCTTACAAGGACGCTACATCCCCGTCTTTACGGTGTGGTTCATCTTTCCATCGCGTCCGACTCCTCGCCTCTCCACCCCGCAACTGATTATGTCCAGGTCATTTCTCTCGAGTATATCTCCGAGGTAAGCATGGATGGCCTCAAACCTGGCGTTGACATACCCCGGCGGGAGGCCGAAGATGTATCCTGCCGGGTGCTGGATGCTTTTCGCGTGATCCAGGTGGAGAATTGCGTTCTAATGACCTCCATAACGGAAACGTTATCTTGCGGGACCGGGATAGGACACCTGTCATCATTGACTTTGGACTTGCTATCATCAGGAAACCCGAATGGAGCTTCGAGAAATGGATGACTACTGTTCAGGGAGGGCCTGATACTAGGTTTATGCGGAGAGATTTGGTGGACTCGGATAATGGGGGATGGAAAAGGGATGTGACACCTTTTGAGATGTCGAGCGTTCACTACGAAAGTTCTTGCGAATTTAACTCATACGTTGAAAGTCTGGATGTGGATTATCGGAGAGCGACATCTGATGAAGTCCTGGATACGAAATGGGAAGGTGCGAAAGAGTGTGTATATCGGTGGCGAGTAAAACTTGGTGTTCGCTGTAGGCTTGGTATGACTAGAAGCCCAGGATAACTTGAAGGCCGAAATCGTGGTTCATCTTGAGGCATGTATACTTACATTTCACTCGGTAGGTAAACTAATACCCTCTGTAGGCATAGATCAGCGAAAAATTCAGAAGCCCAGGATGTATGTAGTAAGCAAAGAGCCTTATTCAATTGCATTCCATGAGATTTCTGGGCCCAGAATCTTGGAGATGCGCAGGTGCATGCGACGGGAGTGGGTGCCGGCAGGCTAACAGTCGGGCCGGTAAGATGATTGCTCTTACCAAATTCTTACCAAGCTATTTGTTCATATCATCTTCTTATACAGTGACAACAGAAATATTCCCGCATGTCTCTCAAAATTGTAATCGTTGGTGGCCATGGAAATGTACGTTTCTTGGAAGCTACAGTCGGACTAACCTGAACATTTAATTTGGAGGTGTCCCTCCGACTTGCTCGCCTCCTTGTAGCCGCAAAGCATACGGTCATCTCACTCATCAGAAATCCAGATCAAGAGGGTGATATTGAGGACACTGGCGCAACGCCTCAAGTATTATCTCTTGAGGACTCGTCGACCTTAGATTTTGCCAAGGCTTTCGAAGGAAAAGATATTGTTTACTGGTCTGCGGGTGCTGGTGGAAAAGGTGGCGAGGAGAGGACCAAGAAGGTCGACTATGAGGGTGCTATAAAGGTTCGATAATCTACAGTCATTTCGATACATTCCTGATCGATGCTCAGGTCTTCGATGCCATCGAGGCAGTCCAAGGACCGAAGCCGCGGTTGATTTATGTATCGGCTATCGACCTTCGTGATAGAAACTCCCCACCACCAGCGCATTATGTACGTTTGTTTGGATGCTTTCTACTACCGTCTAACACGTGCATATCAGAATGAGGCTGACATCGTGCTTTCGGAGCGTGTGCATAAAGTCATACCCGCTTATATGCACTGGAAATACGAAGCCGAGAAAGTGCTGGTGGCGCGCACCACGTTCAGCTGGACAAGCCTCAGACCAGGAGGTTTGACCAATGACACTGGTACTGGCAAAGCAGCCCTAGGCAAGACTCACCTGTCACCCACCGTTTCGGTATATCTTCTGCTGCTTACCCTGGATCTGATCTGATGATATTGGCAGAGGGATGATGTTGCGAAAGTTTTATTCCTGTTGGCCACTCGACAAGATGCTAACGGCATTGGGATTGACATAGTCGGCGGGGAGAATCCTGTCGAAGACGAGCTGGACTCTGCAATTAAGCAGCTGCAAACGGAGGCAGCTTGATTCACTTGAAGCGAAATCAAAAAGTGTATTTTTACGATTTGTTCCCCGCGTGATCAACATCATTGAATGCGGAGGTAAGTGTGGGTCGCTGATGACGAGCATATGACGAGTCATCTCTGTTGCGTCAGCAAACAAAAGGATTTCATATACAGGAACAAGTATTCCTTCAAGTTACTTTGATGGTTGAGAATGCTCCGGAGTTCGCCATCTCCGCCGCCTCTGATTTGACCGTCGACTCGCTTGCGCAAGATGTGATGTCATCAATGCGCCCATAATGGATTGCTGACTGCCTGCATCATTCACGACTTACCGCTTGGATACAGGCCATGGCTACTTCTCATTCAAAGAACCTCTTAGTGACGAACTTCATTCCCCAAACTAATACTACTGTGACTCCACTCTCGGCTACCTTAAAGCGATACACTAAAGCCAACCTATTTGGCAAGAAGTCAGGATATGTGCTTGTTTTTGTGCACGGTGTAGGTTTTCGTGAGTAGTGTACAACTTAATTCGAGTATTTATGCCTTGCTTCGGCACGTTTTCTTCTAGATGAAAAACAGTGGGAACCTGAGGGCAGGAACTTCGGTTTATAACACTCATTGTAAAGACAGGACATTGGTGAGCCCACCGAGTTTTGTTGAAGGTGTAGGAAAACCATTGACGACAGACAGGTGGTGCAAGAGGCGCCGAAACAAATGGCGGAAGCGTTATGAAAGGTCCTGTCTTGTCCCATTCCTTTGCACAAACTGTACCAATGTTCCTCCAACATGTCAATTACTAGTTGAATTCCGAAATGATTCTCATCTTTGTGTGGGCTGTTTCTACGATAGTACGAATACCGAACACTACGTCGTTCTTTAGTCCTTACCTATCATATCAACTTCACGACGAAATTCTGGCAATTCTATTTAACTAAGCTGGGACGACATGAGATCAAAGATATCTCTGCTTTGACAGTTCCACGATGCAAGAGCATCGCCTAATAATAAATACTCCGTAACGCCGGATATCTAGGTCGCCTTCAATTTATCATCGTCTCCCTCCTCGTGCCGCTTTGTCCAGTCAAACATAGGCTTCAAAGCCTCGATATGCCAAGAATCAATGGCCTCAAGCGCGGCCTTCCCCCAGTTGAAGCTATCATGCTCATCAATCGATGACGGACCATCAACGAAAACAACGATATGTTCATTGACAGGGTCAATGAATCCTTCGTAAACCCCCTTCTTGATCAGTTGCCTGAGAGGTTCGTAGAACAATCGGACATTCAAAAGGACGACGGCTGGAACAACAGGAATTCAGAGTTACATGAAGGGAAGAACATCTTCTCGCTCGAAGAGATGGATCGTGGAATTGAAGGGCTTCGCTGGGGAAGAAGCTTTCTCGAGATTCCGAGAGCGCTTTCACTCAGACAAAAATCTCCCATGAAAGGAATCGCACCTGCTAGTTCCGGAGATGCCGTCAAGTAGAAAAAATGACTTACGTTTTTTGTGGATGCCAAGTTGAGTCCAAGTTGCGACCTCCATAACCTAAAGACAGGCTGAGAAAAGGAACCTTGAAATTACGTGGGGCTTGCCTCTTCAAACGTCCCGAACCCACCGGGCAACGCGACAAATCCTCCAACGCGTCTCGCCATCTCGACCTTTCGCTCGTGCATGGACTCCACAACGATCTTCGGACGAGTGAAATGATTCAATCAATCCGCAAGACATCGATGTTGAAAACTTACTGTTTCGATCTAAAATGGATCTATCAGCATTGCAAGCGAAGAATGAGAAGATAGGCGCACCCGGTCGTTCTGTTCGTCAGGTATGACCACCAACGTCGTCGGATCAGATTTGTTCCCTTCACCTCCCCCCGCGACCATTGCGAAAGGTACGATACCCGTTACCCTGCCACCGTTCTCGGCTACGGCGTTAGACACAGCACCCATGATACCCTTTTGGCCTCCGCCATAGACCAAGGGCCTTTGGAATCGCGCCAGAGCCTTTCCGAGTGCTGGAACATTCGTTAACGAGATAATCTATGGGCTGATGAGCACTCACAGTCAGCGGCATGTACGAATGCGGGCTGATTCCCTAATTTAGATCCACAATAGACGGCGATGGCTCTATTCGACACTATATCACGACGAGAATATCAGATAGATGCGAAAGGCATGCTTTTAAAAAAACACTTACTTTTCACTCTTGATGTGTGGGTGGTGTGGATCGTGATGGTACGAACAAGGAATGGGATCCTAGTTTTTTTTGGCGGAAATATTAATAAGCTGAAGCGTCGGAACCAGGGGAGCTACGATGGTCGGCTGGAATTTTCGAATGGCGATTCAAGCAGTTCATTGAATGTGGAAAATAGTTTTCGGTCACTCATAGTATAATGCCGAATATATAAAAATGTCACAAAATAAAAAAGAGGTTATCCATACTCACGTTTATTACCTTTGTGCTTTGTGGTAGCCGAGGAACCTGGATAGTTGTCGCAAACTCAGTACCGAACGGTGCACGTGGTCGAAGCTAGACCATCAGAAATGATTTATAAATTAATTTCCTTTTCTGCCATTCACTTACGGATCACTAGCACTGCTGATGAATGTTGAACTTGAACTTGCGTTGAACACTCCCTCTTGTTCGCGGTTGCTGTCTATTTGCTCAGGAGCTTTCTGGAGATGGGAAAACGGGAACTGAGCGGAGACAGTTCTGACCGTCTCGGGCTAGTGTGAAATGGTTTTTCATCTGGCTAACTGCTCTGTCACTTGCTTAATATTTTCTCTCAGCGTTATTAAAGTAGTACGACGAGATCTTAGAAGCCCTCGGCCAAAATAGAGTCGAAAAAGTTATCCCTTATGTCCGTGCGGAAGCAGCCGAACATGTATGTGGGACATTGCACGTTCTCGTACTCAGGCACCAACCCCTGCTCATCTTAACGCAGGATCCTATATTCAACAGCCTCAGCTCATTGGCCCTCTTGAACTTTGCTTCAATCTGAAAAGGAACGGAGTAGATATCAGAGTGGATAAATCTGTCGGATACGAACTCCCAACATTTATCAGTACGTTGGTCGTAGTTTGGAGCACGGGTACAATCGATGAACGCAAGGCAGCAATGGTGGACATACACCATTAATTGGATCACAACACAATAGTTTTAAGATGATTTCAGAATATAATTAAAGAGGAGGCTGCTATCAGTCTGCGACGGCTGGATGGTTATAAAAGGCAGGAAGTGTCTGCGTGACTATCTGACACCAAAAATGTCAAGCTTCACTCTTCAGAGTGCTAGCGGTAGGGGAAGGCAACGCCGACATCGACAAGGCATGCTTGTTATCAGGGTTTCAAAGAGGTCTGGTGTAACGTGCTCGATGAGCAAGCAGTTCATTGATATTGTGTTTTCGCCTCCATGGAAGGGGCCAGTGCCCAGCGAAGGTATCGACCAATGGAGATCAATTGTTGGCCTTGCTTCGGAACGTGATTGTTCAAGACAGGGAAGCCGTTCGTCGGCGTGTTTCGGGCCTTCTATGGGGTGAACTAGTCAAACCTGCAATTCGAGCATAGCATTTGGATCTTCTCAATGGTACCAAAATCGAGAAACACGACATCAGCGATTGGTATGCTATTCCAATCTGACTTCCAAAGACTATGAGTGAATAGAAGTCTTTACATTAATACTGGCCTTAACAACTAATAGTGCAAATTCTGTGCCAACGGCAAGTTTCCTTGCAACTGGAGCCATGGACCCAGCGAACCTGGCAAGAGGTGCAGGGAGTGCATACAAACCTGTTGTAACACGTGTTTTCTTCCTACAAAATGCGAGCGCACTGGTTGGCATACATCCAGTCATCATCTGAAGAAACAGTTGTTAAAGCATAATAAGTAGTAGTTCCTGCCTTTATAATCACCACTAAGTTGTCCTTCTGCAAACACTTCTTTCCTGGTCACCATCATCCTCTAATAAAACAAAATGGAAAAATCAGCTCTAAGAGATTGCTAGACTGCTCAGAGGTTGATTTCTGGTCTTTTATGTCTTCTTTAGAAGCCTCTTCTCCCTCTTCTCCTCCCTTCTTTGTGCTATAGACAAGTTCAGTGTAGTGAACATGTGAGAACTACCATATTGAACAAGTTGTAGGAGATCTGAATATCACCAATACTCTATCTCATTCTGTGGTATCTCACCAAAGTACACTGATGTCCTGGCATAATCACCTGGCAGAGGTTAGTAGTTCTGACTATGCATTTATCAAACCCATCACTGTATGGACATATGGGAAAAGAATTCCCAGCAGGAACTGACAGCAACATCCTGGAATTTACAAGAGCATCACAAATTCACATCTGAAGAGCAAGATAAAATACTGCTTTGTTTGGTGGAGAGGCTAGAAGACATTCATAGTGTATGGGCAAGCTCAGATTCATGCTTTCTCACTTCAGGGATCTCACAGTGTCATGACCCCCTGTTATGCAATCAGGATATGTTGGGAGCATTAGCATAGTCTGATTCCTCTGAGATCATTGCTATAGATTTCTGCTTCTCTATAGCTACAACTGAGACCATCACTAGCCATTGCTGATTTCCTCTCTTGGACCTAGTGATCTGGTTTCAATGTATGATGCAATAAGATCAAAACTTGGCAGCCCTAAAACATTCTCTCTCCCATTCTTGATCATAAACTCAAAAATCCTCTTCTCTCTATAAATCTAGTTGTTCATGATCTGCATTGCTTACAGACTACAGAACTCTTCCAAGCATCCAAGACACCTCAACTCCTTAGAGTTTGAGGACCTCATTCTTTATATCTCTCCTGAAATATATCTGATCAGCTTGTGTCATTATTTATCCATACATTCTTTCATCAGAGCTGAAAACAGTCCCATGATGGAATGGCAGCATGTGTAGCAGCCATCACTGTGCCTTGGGGTTCAATCTCCCATGTTCAAATCCACTCTTTTGACTGCCTCTTTTTTTTTCTTACCTCTTTCCTTCTTTTGTTTGTTGTCATCACACAATGGTTCAGTATCTATCCTGGACTTCTTACTATGATCCACAATCATTTTTGGTATTCTTCAGTGAGACTGGAAAACTGCAGACTCTCTTTCAAAAATACTTCACTGCAACATGTAAATTCAAGTAAGTATATGCATGAGCTGGAACATATAGCCATTGGAAATCCACAAGCTAAGCTCTCTTCTGAACCAATTTCAAATATTATTGTCCTCTGGTGTTATTCAGAGGCAGGTTTGATTCCTTATGTTTGACTTATTGAAGAATTTTGAATGATAGGTTGACTGCTACTGCTATCTTCAATTTCCTTTTTTTTCTTGGTCAAAGATTCATTGCACTCAAAGAATGCTCATCATATGAAAAATTCCTACTATTAGTTATTGCTTCAAATTTACAGTGAGATTCTCCTACCTGATGGAGAAAGTGATAACAAGATGCCAGTGCAGACCTTTGTCTAAGCTCATCTATACCTGCTATATCAAAAAGACAATTGCAAATCACTGGATAAACTGCTGGCCTTGTCTGGCCATGATTCATGGATAGTATTTGAGCAGCTAGTGCTGTGCCTTGAGGTTGGACTCCCTATCTCCAAATATGTGTATTATGCTTCTTCTTTTTGTTCAATCAAGTTTCATTAAGACAGGAGACAATTAATTAAATTACCTGCATGGCTGGAGAGGCAAGGCAATGTCATTATAATGGGCCATATATATATATGCCATAAGAGCTATCACACTAAGTGTGTATAATGCTGGAATTTATAGATTGTCAAACAACCAGATCATCAGAAACAATGCCACAGTTAGGATATTCCATATGGCCACTCTGGAAGAGATACTGTCATAGTAGATCTTGTATGATCATTACTTTACCAAAAACTGTCTGTACTCCCATTTTCATGCTATCTGTGCACATAAATAACTGTCTCCAAGTTCTCTTTCCAGTTTGTTTTCAAGTCTGACTCTTTAATTGATGAGAAATACAATAGGATACACATTGTATAATGGCAATATGAAGTTTGATTATCATGCCCAGACATAAACCATTTTCATAGTGTTGAATATATGTGCATAAGAGCATCTAAAAAATCAGATACATGCAAGTAAGCTTTTTTTCTCTTACCACAAATTCTGATTACCACTGTGGAGTCTGAAATCCCCTATCTTCAACTTTGAGAGAATATATTACAAATCAGTTTCCAGCCAGCTGTTTCCTAGAAACAATATTTACCATGAATATTAAATAATGATTCAAGTTGTTATCTTAAATAAGTACTGTACAATTGGCAATGCAACCAATGCAGATTATGAAGTCTGATTCCTTCTTTGAAACCTTTAGAGTCTATATGGCTTCTCAGTCAGAGATACAAATTGAGAATGAAAGTGAAGGGTGAACAAAATGAGCAGTGGTGTAGACCTGCACTATCCATTGCATGAGCAGAAAACACCTAAGAATGAAAGCACTCACTTGGTTGCTCAGTTGTATATATTCACTGTAAAATGAATGTTTATTATGAGATCATCAATATGCTGGCTGCTCATTTCTGGAACTGAGACACACACATGGCTGCTATTTGCCTTTGTGAATGATGTCAAGTATAGTGGGAGACAAATCCCCTAATGTATGTGTCCAACAGCCAAACTTTCATTTATTACTGTGCTGCCATATATATTGAGGATAGATTGATTGTGAATTTATAAAAGAGATTCATCTCAAGTGACTCCAGTAAGATTGTGAAAGGATCATTCAGATATCAGATAACAGCCTTGGGTACTCAAGTACTCATCAGATCTATGAGTCCTAAGCAGATGATATTCATATTTTAATTGAGCCATCAAAGAAATTTCTCTTTATAAAATGGCCATAGGTGTAGGTAGAGTCCCTTTATCTCCTATTTTTCAGTGCACAGACTCTCTTCTTTGTGCTTGGGATAATTCTAACTGCTTTGAAACTTGGGTATGTTTGTCACTGAGTAATTCTACTTCTTGGCACTTTGAAGAACTTTTTTTTTAAAAAAAGAACATTCATATTAAAAAGAATATTGTCAACTGAGAAATGAATCATTAATAGCCACTACACATGGAATTGAACCATATTTTTTTTTAACTCTATGTTAGGCTAAATCATCCACTGGTTGACTGATGGCATGTCAAAAACAGATTTCAGAATCATGCACCTGTTAGACTGTACAGCAGAGTGACTTAATTAGCTATAAATCAAGAACTCACTCATGGAAGTGAAATCTTTTTCCTCAGAGCATGACTCATTGTATCAAGCTCAAACAACTCTTGCATAGTGGTAGATCAGAAACACTATGAGACTCCAGAAGTGATATTTTTCAGTGA